TTCCTACAATTTGTAAGGTATTTATTTTATATTGAATAATCAGTCCACTTACCCAAGGAGGATTAAAGGATACAACAGTTGTGTTGTGACTGATATCGCATAATATATCGTTACCCTGCCTCGTCCAAGGGACCTAATATTATAATATATAAGGTCCAACTACATTCTGCCGGCAGAGACACCCATAAAGATTATACCTTATTTATTTGATTTTTTTTTTTTTGAAAAGATCAACAACAAAAAATCATCAAATTAATCTCGAACCAATATTTAATAAAATATGTAGATTAAACTGAAGGCGGACTTATTATTATAATAGAACAAGGCCCAAAATTATGTAATCATACCCTCCCCTGGACCTTCAAACGAGGCAGACCTATTATCCACTACAAATGGTTTTCAAAACCCTTGTCTGTATAAAAATCTCGACTTTCTCTGCAACCTACATCATTTTCATAGCCATCTACTCTATAACTACAGTAAAGAACGATATTCCTCCTCTGTATTTACGGAAATTTTCAGTATTCCACTGTACATATCCCTAACATGGTACAGTTACCCAAGGTAGGCACCTGTATGGCTACTACTATCGTGGCCTTTGATTTGAAAAAAAAAACCTTGAATCTCTTGCACGTAAGGATAATTTGCGGCAAGTTTGGTTGAAATTGCCCCAATGGTTTTTGAGAAGAGAATGAAAATGTAAAAAAAAAAAAAATACAACAAGGACTACGACGGAAAACGGACAAATTTCGATCGAGAAAGCTCACTAGAGCCTTCGGCTCAGGTGAGCAAAAACCACTTCGGGTGGATGTCAAATTCCAAACGGTGACACATATATATCGCAGCTTCAGTTTTGATTCAATACACAAAGTCATTGCTTTTATACAAATGTTCTATGGAATATGATTATGTATATGTCGATCTTGCCATTGTTTGTAAAATATTTTGTATTCACTTCATTTTGAACTTGGTAGAGAATTCGCAAAATGACCCCAAAACAGGACATAACATCCACTATTTCTTTAATTCAGTGGTAGGGATAAGTCCCCAAGTCTTGCAAGGATGTAGAGAGGGAAGCTAACATACATTGAAATATTTTAACCTATCTTCAGATAATTGCTTCTATCAACAGATAATTGTACCTAGTATCTTCAATTCATTTGAAGATAGGTACAATATTAAATTAATATTTGTAAGATTGAATTGAAAATAGGTGTAAATAATTATACATGTCTCTAAATAAGTTTACCTTAGTACAAATGAATTATACCTATCTTTAGTGGATTTATATTACACATATCTTCAATTAAAGACAGGTTCAATTGAATTATACCATTTCTAATTCATTTGAAAAATATGTATAAATCATTTAAAGATAGGTAAAATTGGTCCAAAGATAGGTACAATTGATTTGAAGATAGGTTCAATTAAGATATCTCCACAAAGTATGAAAAGGGGAATAAATACAGAATATTACATACCAAAATCCATATCATATGTCATATCTGATATCATGACATCTGACATCATGAAATGGGTCCCGAGGGCTATGTGACATATGATATGAATTTTAGTTTGTAGTATATATTATATTTATCACATATTTTAAATACATAATATGCGAATTCTCTTATGGTCAATGAAGAATGTTTGTGCTTGTTAGTGTCATTTTTTTCTTAAAAATCTAATAGAGCCAATTTAAGGTAATTGAAAAAAATAGACCATAAATGTCATCAAAGAATTATTTAAAATATTTAAATATAATCAAGTAAATTAACATTTAAAATTGATACAAAAGTTACTTCCAGTTTGATATGGATTTTCGACCCGCCGGTCTGATACGTCATATGTATTTTCGGACCGGTCTGAGATATGGGGTATTGTGACGTCACCCGTATCGCACCGTGCAGTTTCGGTTTATTTACTACTAAGTATACGATAAAGGTAAATACAAAATGTGAAAAAAGCATCACATACTTATTAAAATACACATATACGAGATATCAAGAAGTGACCAAAAACATATACCAGAAATGATTGTGTAGATTGTGTACTGTTTATCGTCCCCTTCCAGAATATTTCACTGATATGGAGACGTCACTATTGCCGGTGAAGGGCTGCAAATTTAGGCCTATGCTCGGCATAAATATCAGTCGATAAAATCAAACCAGAACTGGGAGAGCTATAGACAACAGAGAAATCTTGTAACCAAATTAAAGAACAAATCTATAAATCAATATTTTATTGAAAGATGTGCTGGGGGACCTAAATCAAAAGATTTTTGGCCAACTGTGAAGCCTTTTTTAACAAATAAAGGGTCCCTCACACAAAATGATGTAACTCTGTCAGAAAATTCAAAACTTGTAAATAATCAAAATGAAATAAGTGAGATTTTTAATGATTTTTTTATAAATGTAGCCAAAGACATTGGAAATGCAGATGAAAAGGTTGATGAGGACCACCCAAGTATCAAGGCAATCAGAGAAAATACTCAAGGTACAACACAACCAAGTACATTTTCTTTCTCGCCCATTAAGGAAGATTTTGTCAATAAAAATATTAAAAAAATCAATGTAAAAAAGGCCACAGGTATTGATGGAATTTCTCCAAAACTTTTGCATATTGCTAATCCAGTTATCAGTAAACCCTTGACCAAAATAATTAATCTATCCCTGGTAACATCAACTTTTCCTGATAAGCTGAAGATTGCTCAGGTTACTCCAATACACAAGAAAAATAGTACCTTAGAGAAGGGTAACTATAGACCAGTGAGCGTCCTCCCAACAATATCAAAACTTTTCGAAAGAGCAATAGAAACACAGTTAACAAACTTTTTTAATGACATTTTTAATCCTTTTTTATCAGCTTTTCGGTCAGGTTTTGGATGTCAGTCTACTCTGTTGAGAGTTATTGAAGACTGGAAATATGCCCTGGATAGAAATGAATACACTGCAGCTATTTTAATGGATCTTTCCAAGGCCTTTGATTGGCTTCCCCATGAACTACTTCTTTTGAAGCTAAAAGCCTATGGACTATCTGAATCAGCACAAGAAATGCTTTATAGCTACCTCTCACATAGAAAACAATGTGTTAAATTAGGGCATCATGTTAGTGACATGTTAAACATCATTAAAGGTGTCCCACAAGGATCTATTCTTGGTCCCCTGTTATTTAACATATTTATAAATGACCTGTTTTTCTTTGTAGATAAATGTAACCTCTACAATTATGCAGATGATAACACCCTATCAAAGTCTGATAAATCTCTAGAACAGGTGGTAGCAGCTTTAGAACATGATAGTAGATCTCTCATTACATGGTTCTCTTCAAATAAAATGCAGGCCAACCCTGAAAAATTTCAAGCAATTTCTATTGGAAATAAAACACAAAGTAAAAACATTATATTTGATTTAGATGGAATCAAAATTCCTTGTGAGGATGAAGTTAAGTTGCTAGGTATAACCATAGACTTTAAGTTGTCTTTTGATACACATATTACAAATATGTGCAAAAAGGCTGCAAGGCAATTAAATGTTCTTAAACGGTTAGGAAAGCACTTAACTAAGTTAGGAAAACTTACAATATATCACTCTTTTATCATGTCAAATTTTAGTTATTGCCCCTTAACATGGCATTTTTGTACTGAGCAAAATACTCGCAAAATAGAGAAAATTTAGGAAAGAGCATTAAGATTTATTTACGAAGATTATAAAAGTTCTTATGAGAGTCTTTTACATAAATCTAAACTACCATCTTTGAAAACCAGAAGAATGCGTGCCATTGCTATAGAAACCTTTAAAATTTTACAAGGTTTAAGTCCTGTCTTCTTGCAAGATCTGGTTGTTTTTAAAAATAATTCATACAATTTTAGATATACAAATACTGCAGAGGTCCCAAGACCAAGAACAAGGTATGGGATGAAATCATTTAGGTATGAGGCAGCAAAGCTCTGGAACTCTCTACCCAATGAAGCCAGGCAATTCTCCTCATATAATCAATTTTCAAATTACATTTCAACTTGGTGCGGAGAACTAAATTGTAAATGCAGCTCCTGCAGACTTCAGACTTCTATGCCTCATACCTAATTTTCAGTTTTATAGATGATCGTCTTAAGTTATTATTTATTTATTTATTATTTTGTTTTTTTTTTACAGTATTGTACTTTCTTAACCTTTCCTCCTTGTTTGTGTGCATGACTTTTGTTTTAGGTACTTGTTGTTCTCTTATGGCGACTCTTTTATTTTCTTTGTGTGTTGCTCAAATGTTTTGTCTTTTATTTCTTTCTTTTCTTTTTATGTCTGTTTATCAATGTCTTTGGTTACACTTGTGTGTTTACTGTTTAAATGAACTTCTGTCTTTGTGAAACTTTAATGTGATATTTGTGCTCTTATGTGTATATATGTACATTTTATTATAAATATGTTTTTTTATGTTTCTAGTCGGTAAAAGAGCTTTATAGCTCATGTTCTTTGTTATGTGTATGTAGTCCGACTATAAATAAAATTTACTTACTTACTTACTTACTTACGGCTTTTGAGCAGGGAGGGATCTTTATCGTGCCACATCTGCTGTGATACGGGGCCTCGGTTTATACGGTCTCATCCGAAGGACCGCCCCATTTTGTCGCCTTTTACGACAAGCAAGGGGGTACTGAGGACTTATTCTAACCTGGATCCCCATGGGGCACCATAAATGAAGTCTGATAAAGGGAGTTGTTATTATCGCCAATATCTTACTAATTATAGAAGTATCCAATTCAATGGTACTTATATTTAAATCAAGTATACCTCTCATCAATATATTGTTTTTGTACTTATCTTAAAATCAATTGTATGTATCTTCAAACAAATTAAAATAGGTGTAATTGAATTGTACCTATCTCTAATTGATTTGAAGATACTTACAATTATTTTAAGATAGTTTAAGATAGGTACAAATATTTGAATATATGTTAATTTGGCGTTCCAAAGAGAAGAACGTATAAATAGAAAAATCTCTAATACTATGGGCGAATTTTAATTTACTTGCAACTTCTACACGGTGTATACGTTTCTAAAAAGGCTTTCTAAATAAAATCACATATTCTTTATATAATAATTAAATAAAATAAACCTTTGAAAAATATTGTCTCTCACTTAAATAAATTATCAAATGTATTTAATTGAAATAGACAGTAAATGATAAAGGTAAATTTATGAACGTGAATAGTCCTGGACTTGACTCAGTTAAAGCACTTATTTGTTTGAAATAAAATTTAAATTATGTACCCGGTTGATTTTGTGATGGATTAGATTTAGGTAACTTTTCCTTAATATATTCTATATCTTTTCGTTGCTCGGCCAAACCTTTCTCAATATCAATCAGACGTTTTTCTGAATCTTTCTGTTGCTTATCAAAGTCTGATTTCATTTGCGATATGGCATTTAATATTGTCATTGTATCCGTACTTGGTTTTGCACTTGAAGATAACCTTACTTCCACTGGAATGATACAATTATTTGACACAGGAAGTTTAAGAGATTTCAAGACATTCTCTATAGGAGTCACCAGACACGTACCACGTGATGTGAGTGCTATTGCCATTCCGATGCAACTCAGTGTTTCGTCCTGATTTATACAAAACACAAAGGATCCCGAGTCACCTAAATCAAAGAACTTTCCACGTATACCTTCAATTTCCATTTGATTATACACAGTGATATTCCTGGGATGGCTTGACCCCAGAAAATCAGGTAAGGTCAAGTTTTCCGATTGGATACGAACATGCATACATTCGTTGAAGAGGCAGCCTAGTGTGAAACCTGTTGTGACTCCGTACTTCACAACACTACCAGAAACCAAGTTTGGCAAATCGAGCAGTGGTACCATATTTCCTTGGAACTTTGGTGGTTTGTCTGTTTGGAATCCTATAAAATAGTAATGATATTTGTTGTTGCTCATAAGCACGATAAAAACGGATTTTGTAGAATAAAATTAATAACACAATAGTCAATTGTTAAACAATCTTGAATAAACAATGATTTAAAAAAAATGAATAAACATGATGCAGTAATGTTCCATACCAAAAATCCTACTTTGGTGTTGTCCTCTTACATGTAATAGTATTCTCAAAAGATTTTTCAACAGTTTTTTTCAAATTTCTTTATATCCCATTTTGGAATTTGAATACCTCTAATAGCAAAGGATACACGTATTGCTTAAAAATATGCATATGAAATTTTAAAAAAATACATGTATAAAAAAAATACATGTATATGTTCCAACATAAACCTACATATAAGAGGAATTATGGTTCGAATAATTGAGAATCTCCAATATCTTTGGAAGATTGCAAAATTATTTGTATGTATATAGTGGCTGTACTTTACAAACTATCATATAATAATATTCAAATGAAAGAGTGGTTTTCAGAGAAAAGACGAAAATATAAATAGTTTGAAAGTTTGAAAGGTTAACACGAACACAAGCGTCAGAAAAACAGACCACTCGACCACTCGCTGATGTTATTTGAAGACGGAGGAAATTGTCTGGTTGTCTATATATCTATATATCTATATATATATATATATATATATAAAATCCAAATTCAAATGACAAACTCAAACTTTTATCTAAAGCGCTTTCACCCCATGCGGGCTCATCTGTAGATTTGAAATTGTAAACAAGTTACATTGTGACGTCATTCTCGTGACGTTATGTAGGCAACGTTAAACATAATGATTGTGACGTAATTATAATCACAGTTAAATGAGGCGCACAGATAAAGTTTTACAGTTCATCTGATCAAAGTTTGAGTTTGTCATTTGAATTTGGATTTTATTGTATCCCTATACCAAGGAAAACTATTTTTTTTGAATATATATATATATATATATATATATATATATATATATATATATATATATATTTAAGGAATGACTCTAATTCTTGGTCAAATTATCGAGTATAATATGGTTTGGGTCAGTTTACGCTTTATAATCCGCGAAGCGGATTATAAAAAAGCGTAAACTGACCCAAACCATATTATACTCGATAATTTGGCCAAGAATTAGAGTCATTCCTTATAATTTAATTTTAAAATAATTATTCAACTGGGGATGTAAAATTGTGTTGTTTTTATGAGTTCAAATTTACCGCGCAATAATACAACCGTAGTAAAGGAAGTGATGAGAAGCGAGGGGAGGTAAAAACTGATACATAGATCTAACAGCCATGATGCTTGTTTACATGAGGTAAGATCGAGTAACTGTTTGAAATTAAAGGTACATTCATTAAATCTGGAATTTTCCATGAATCCCAAGGACTGGAAATGAGGGGATTGATGGATACAGTTGATTATGCTGGTTGTCAAGGGGGTGTGTCCCCATACCAAACCAGATTATACAAAATGTTATGCGTTCCTTTTTGGAAATCAACCAATGAGAGACAAGAGTACAAGCAAAAAAATTATATATATATATATATATATATATATATATATATATATATATATATATAATGCAAATCAAAAACAGAAGTACTGGTACTTGTGTGTGTCTAACATGGTTTTTAAAATAATATTTAATATTTTTAGGCCATAACTTGCCTTAGTGGCCTTTAATTTAGTAAATAAATTAAATATAATGTATTGTGTGTAAAACATCGTCGGGGGAACTCACCTGCAGAACGTAACTGCTCCTCTGACACCATACAAAAACCGGCTACATTTGATGATGAGTTGATTTCAATAAGCGCAGCGTCAACACTAGATCCTTCTAATGGATTTAAATTTGGAAACGCTTTGTCAATAACTTTTCCACACACTTTATATGAATGGGCACTATTGATAAATGCCTCTACTTCAGGATGATTATCTGTTTCTCTCTTTTCCAGCTCTTCATGAGACAGAACCACATGAGCACACGTTATTAGGCCAATTTTACTAAAAGGTAGACTAACGAACCCACCAATAGTCCCAACACTTTTACTCCCTTTACGACGGATGTCTCCTCCCATTTCTATCGACTCACCATTTCCAAAGTTACAAAAACCCTCCTGAACATCCACCTCAACATCTCCAATTCTTCTTGGAAACTCCTCTTCTCCATAGGGAATGTATCCTTTATGTAAACATAATAATAGAATACAAGGCTTTTTCACGACTCTGTGTTTTCCTTTTGAATATCCTATCGATTTATATGGTGAAGCCGATATCATTGTTAAATTGGAATGTCTTTTGAACAGTTCTCTTGCTTCTTTTTCAGAGATAGTTGGCAAAGTTTCCTTTGAATGTGAGGTTGCATAGGACTTGAAAACATTGTATGCTTCATCAGAAGGGTTTGAACAATTATAAAGGAACATTTTCTTCCCCATAACCATTTCCTGGGTTATATCAGTCATTTCAATTGTGCCTTTAAACGATAAAACAATAGTCACACGGTTTCCATTTTCACAGTCATGGCACAGTGATAACTGGATTGAATTTTGTAGGAGACTTGGGCGTTTTCTTAGAATCATGCATTTAGCTGACTTTAAAATGGTTTCAACAATAACTGCATTTGTGTTTTTAGAAGTCTTCATAAATATTGTTTCCAAGTGAAAGTCACATTGAAATGCATACGAGCGCACAAGCTCTGATAGCAGTATGTAATTTCTGCTTTCAATTGCAAAATGCACGAAATGTCTTACAAAAAAGTGTTTCTTTTTTAGAATTGCAAGTATGTGTCTTACTTCAATGGTAATTTGAACATAGTAAGTGCTGATGAAACATTTACATTTCTGCTTCCTTGCTTCTCTTATCTTTTCAATACAAGATTTGGTCCATCCAAAGATTCCCTGGGTACTGAATTTATTGCAAGTCTCTATTTTTCCTATTGAATAATGCTTGACAGAACTCCCACAAATATCATTACAGTCCATATATTCAATTCTATGCAATACACTCCTCAGTTCTTCTCTGAAGTTTTCACTTTTTAAAACATCAATCTGATTCATACTTGTTGAGCGTTTTAGAGGTGTTGGATTTCCATGTAGGTTTACATAGCCCTTGTATTCTGTAACAATAATATTTTTTAAAATGTCTAAAACATTGCAACACTGTACCTAGCTGCATTTTCGTGTCAAGAAAACACAATTATTGATATTGCATAGAACATATATCTTATTAGCACATCACAGTATCAGATGCAGTTACTGTATATATCTGATTGTGAGTTGCCGAAGGTAATATCTTTCCCTGAATTTTAACGCTTTAAAAGGATGCAATTGATAATAAAAATTTGTCTCTAGAAACTTTGCTATTTTTGTTGATAAAAGTAGCATTTGTATTTATGGAGGGTAATCGTGTTAAAAAATCCAGATTTGTAAGTTTGAAAATCCAAACTTCTAGGTTTGAAAATCCAAACTTGTAATCGTATCAATTTCGTGGTCTACACATGTAAGTAGGTAACTCCGACATCCAAGTATGTAGTTCCGAATATACAACTTTGTTGACTTTGAGTTTATATTATGAATGTGTGTATCTTGAGTGTTCTAAACTTTGTTTTGCGGAAATTTATATCTCCTCGCTCTGAATGAAATACAAAGACAAGTCACAATTCTGCAAATATGATCAAAAGTGAGCTAGTCTAAGTTTATGTTCATGATGCATGATAGTCCAAATATGATTCATATAACCTCCATTATTGATTGCCATCTTATATTGTACACAAATATCAAGCTACTTGACTACGAATATTGCAAATACAAGTTATGTTATTCTGTATTTCTCAAATAAAATTTATTTTTCTTAATTTCATTTTTTTTGGCCAAATTATTGGGGAGGCGACCGCCGCCCCTGATTAGTATCTTTAAACTGATATTGTCATCACATTATTTTTTCAAAGTATGACTGAGATTTTTTCACATCGACAAGTCTCAGGGCCGAAGTAAAAGAGGAGCGAAAGGTTGGGCTCCCCATATTTTGTGGGGAGAATAATCTTTGGCAACTGTTTTGATATGAAAATTTATTTATAGGCTGCATCCCCCTTAATTTTTTTTGTTGGACGGCAGGTTGAATAGTTTGCTGGTCAACTACATTAAATATGGCTATAATTGATTCAATTGCAAGATTTCACAAGGTTCGCAGAACTTTTCAAATATCTTAATGCTTCTTGAGTTTATGTGTAAAAACATGACAAGATACATTGAGGGTATGCCCTTGCAATAAATCGATTTATTAGGGTCCTTCCATTACTTTTTTAATTAATCTGCATACAAACACACGACAGTATCACTTGTCTGGAGAATGCACAGACAGTTTAAAATACTAAAATAGACATCGCATCCAAGTTAACGGTCTTTTATTTTATTGCAAAAGAACAGAAGACATGTTCATTGTACAAAATGTGACTTGATCAGCCTCTCACTGTGTACAAACTGCATCATTTTTGCGAGATGACGTCACATTGAAAAGTGCATTGCGATCGATGCATCGTATATATACTGTTGTGAGGGATTTAACAAACGAAAAAACTGCATGTAATAGTAAGTGTGTATGTAGTATACAGCTATCAAGCTGTTTGAAATAGCAAATAATTTCATTTTGTGGTATTTTAAAGACCTTGTATTATGTGTGACGTCATAGTAAACATTTCCCTTGTTGGACGGCAGGTTGAATAGTTTGCTGGTCAACTACATTAAATATGGCTATAATTAATTCAATTGCAAGATTTCACGAGGTTCGCAGAACTTTTCAAATATCTTAATGCTTCTTGAGTTTATGTGTAAAAACATGACAAGATACATTGAGGGTATGCCCTTGCAATAAATCGATTTATTAGGGTCCTTCCATGACTTTTTTAATTAATCTGCATACAAACACACGACAGTATCACTTGTCTGGAGAATGCACGGACAGTTTAAAATACTAAAACAGACATCGCATCCAAGTTAACGGTCTTTTATTTTATTGCAAAAGAACAAAAGACATGTTCATTGTACAAAATGTGACTTGATCAGCCTCTCACTGTGTACAAACTGCATCATTTTTGCGAGATGACGTCACATTGACAAGTGCATTGCGATCGATGCATCGTATATATACTGTTGTGAGGGATTTAACAAACGAAAAAACTGCATGTAATAGTAAGTGTGTATGTAGTATACAGCTATCAAGCTGTTTGAAATAGCAAATAATTTCATTTTGTGGTATTTTAAAGACCTTGTATTATGTGTGACGTCATAGTAAACATTTCCCATACAAATTAGGCCCCACCTCCTCACTTTAACCCTAACTGTGCTGCGCAGTTTATTTTTTGCTTTTCATTTTTAGCCCCCCCCCCCCCCCCCCTCGATAAACATTGATACGCATCTGCATTTACTTTGAAACCTTAAAAACGAAGCCCCTCAAATAAAACAAATTTAAGAAAATAAAATAATATTGGAAGATATAAACAAGAAGCTATGTTAAATTAGAAATTAAAATGAAAATATTAATACAAAATTAGAAGAAAGAATAAAAACAAGAAAAAGTCAAAATTATTTATTTCATTTCGAAAAAGAAGTGTAAATGAAAAAAGTGTGTCACTGATGCCTCTCTATAGTTTCGCATTAACAAAATTCGATCAACAAAATTCGACAACATGCATAGACTTTACATTCGCAGACTTGTGAATTGTCTTTGTGTGTTATTCAGAGCGCGGAAATATAAATTCCAGAAAACAATGTTTACAACATCAAAGACACAATGTACACACATTCATAATATAAACTCAGAAAATTACCACAATTGTATGTTGAACTTCCGGACTACATATTTGGATGTTGGATTTTCCAACTTACATAAGTAGACTATGAAACTGATACGATGACAAGTTTGGATTAACAAACTTTCAAGTTTGGATTTACAAACTTACAAGTCTAGATTTTTTAACACGCTTACCCTCTATATTTTCTAAGATTGAAAGTAGAATGATAAGCATATTTTACAGTCATTTAAAATCTAATACCAGATCACCTATTGCAATTACAGGGTGTCCCCACAGGAACCTGACATTCCTTATTAAAAAAATATATATATATATATATATACAAAATTAGAATTTATGTACACCTGAAGACGGATTATGAAATCCAGAAAGCGCTTGTGTTAAATGAAATTTGGAAACTGCATTTTCTTTTTCTTTTATAATATATATATATATATATATATATATATATATATATATATATATATATATATATACCCCCAACATAATAAATAAGGCACCCATCGGACGCCATCTTGGTTTGTTCTAAGTCGGTCATATTCACAACCAGAAGGGCATACTGATTTTCCTATATTAATCTTTGATCATTCATTGTGGCTCCATCCTATGCAGGGTGTCAGAATTTTTATCAAACTTGAATTTAGACCACCTGAGGATGCTTCCATATAAATAAAGATTTTACTTATACATTCCTATGTAAAACTTTGATCCTCAATTGTGGCCCCGTCCAAAACCCGGGGTCATGTTTTGAACAATCTTGAATTTACACCACCTGAAGACGCTTTAATATTTACCAGTAAAATGTCACTGACACGACACGTAGAAATGGCTACAATTATAATGAGTACATGTACTATCGTTATGAATACAAAGGACGAATGTGAGCGTTTGATATCATGCATTTACATAAAATGTGAAGTCGATGTCATTTTAATTCTTATGTCAAATAATTGTGATACAAGTGGACGTAGACTATTATTGTACTACATACGGTAATGTATACGATTCAGCTGGTATTCATTGTTGGCAATAGACATAGGGTAAGTATAACTAGTCTTTAAAAGGCAAATTGTAAAATGACAAATGATAACTCAAGTTTCAACAAATATTCTACTATTGTTCGACTAAAGCCTCAGACTATTCGACTTTTCTGTCCGAATGAAATTGACATCCCTATTTAATAAGCTTTTGATTAAAAAAAAACAAAGCAATTGATTTGCATCTCACTAAAAATTCACTTATTATTTTACATACTTAAATATTTTTAATTGGGTATTAATGGGTACTTTTTATTCTTCTTGTAAGTTAATTAATAATAAAATATCTACTGAATTAACGTTTATAATTATGTACACCTTTAACTGAAATAATCAGAAGTATCACAGTTTTATATTATCCATGCATTTGCTTATTTGCTTATTGTCAGCGAAACCAACAAATTCAAATTAAACAATTTTTAAAAATAAAAATGGCCCATAAACTACAAGGCGCAACTATAGTCCCCGCCGACTGATGTTAGACACTTAGTAAGGTCCACAAGATTGACTTGCATATAAGGCTCCCGAGATTTCACTCAGCGAAATTTACATTCGGGTTAAATAACTGAGAAATTTGTTCACCTAAGAGTTATCACGGAGATAACAAACGAATAAGAAATGCAGATATTAATTGATCAATAAAAATTTTAAATCCAGAATTTTAATTCACTTTATGAAAAAATTTAAAGTTTGCTTTTAGCCATATCCATACACTTGTTGAATGATCAGATTAGAGTCAAAGTTTGCCGTATTGAAGGAATGTTTTACACCTCTCAGTTCTATGTAGTCAACAGGAAGATTTTAAAACCCAAATCTCTTTTCAGTATCTATTAGTATTATGAATACCTTTTATCTGTAGTTTTATGCCACGCTCTGTTCTATGTAACTTTTTAGGTGGAGGACTTTCAGAGACTGGGGCAGTCTGTGAGGAACCACTTGGTAATTCATCCAATTCTCTTTTCAGAGGATGCTCTGAAACATAATACATAGAATATACTCTTTATATTTTAGCTGCAAACCTTAAGATAATCTATTTACTTAATATCACCTATTCCTACATTGTATTCTTTTTCATTGGTTTAAATTTATGAAATAAATTCACAATTTATAATTATAAAATACATCATGTACCTAAGTATGTAATGGTCAATTGGTAAAATAAAACGGTTATTTTCACTTAACTTACAACTATGGTTAAAATATTTTCCTGTCTTAATGTACTAAGCACTAAATTTCAAATAACGTTATTACTTGACAATATGATAAATGCATTATTACGATATATTCATGTATTTCTCTTAAATGATGCAAGTAAACTCCCTCCTCAGGGTTTTAATAAACGTCAAATAGAACTTTAAATCTATATTATAGACTATTTATATTTTTTGTCATCTGATATCGTTCACCAATTGTCAATACATGTACTTGTTTTCAATTTAGGATATATACATTTCATATCAAGATTATATTGCAATAAAAGAATGATAATTGTTTCAGAAAAACATTAACATGTTTCCAAATCTTTATAAAATAATGCAGATTTATTTCACATTTAAAAAAAAAAAACATATATAGATTTTTTTTTATCAAATGAAAATGAAAATCAAGCGTTCAACAGTACTTGTAGATGTGACAGTGGCTGATTGTATGGACGAGTGCTGACTCCACATCAGTTGAAGCCTTTCTTGTGTGTTTGGAGGTGTGAGTTGTTCCTGGATACTTGAATCATATGTAATACCGCTAGGTGGTATCCATGGATAAGTCTCAAGTGGATGTATTCCTTGTATACACCGAGGTCTGGGTCGCTCCAGGGTACTTGTTGCCGTGGCTTGGGCAGTAGGTGGAGTTAATGGGTAGGTAGACTCCACTAGATGTCTTTCTCGTGTATGTGCAGGTCGAGGCCACGCCAGGGTACTTGGAGATAGAAGACGGCTGATACTTATATTCTGAGGATCTGGGGGAAATGAAAAAAAAATCTTTAACAAAACTTTTGGTTATTGTAAAAGTTTGATCTTTTTTGAAGATTGAATTAATCACAGTAATTCTATAACTTGTAACCGAATTAGGGCACCAATTTATGATGAACAAATGGTTTACTTAAATTAACATTATTTAATAAGGATACAACTATATTTTTTACATTTTTAGGATTATGAAAATTAAAATTTAAAAGACTTAGTTTTTTTTTCTTTTAAAAAATCACAGTGACCTTGAAATAGACCGCGACACACCTTCTACCTTAGATGTATACTTTTGCCAAGTTTGAAAGCTCTACATGTAGGTCTAATAGTTTTCTAGTTATAAGGCGGACAGGATTTTTACATATTTGGCTATAGCATCCTTATTAAAGGTCAGAGCGACCTACTTTTGTTCGCGACACATCCTCTGCCAAGGAAGTATCAGTTGACCAATTTTGATAATCCTAAACCTAGTAGCATTCAAGTTTTGAGCCGGACAGACAGACGGATGGAAATGACGCCTAAAAGACGGACATATAAAAAATCTATCGTGAGGGCATATTGATTTTTTTATATTACTATTACTTACAGATTTTAGGTAGACTATTCATACCAACAAAATGTTTTTTAGTGCTATTATTCAATAATTAATGAGAGAGTGTATTCAATAAATTATAGCATGTTTATGCGTAGAGGTCGGGCATGTTTTACAGTCCCTGAAACGTTCTACTTTCCCATTTTTCCGTTCGCTCACCGTTCGTTCACCGTTCGTTCAGCGTGCGTTCACCGTTCGTTCAGCGTGCGTTCACCGTTCGCTCTCCGTTCACAGTTTTGCGTTCACCGTTTACCGTGCGCTCGCGTTCACCGTTCACAAAACGTTCACCGTTCGCTCTTCGTTCCGTTTAGTTTGCGTTCACCTTGCGTTCACCGTTCACTTATCGTTCAGTCTTTATTGTCATTCGGAACTCCGAAGTGAAAGGACTTATCTTTTTGATGGTAAGGATTTTTTTTTAATTAAATAACTAAGATATCGTGTTTAAAGAATAATTATTTCAATGCAAAAGGTATCTACGATATATATATATTTCTATTATTATAACTTAGCTGTTACTTTATCCATTTTTTTCCTGGAAAAAATGCGTTAAGAACATACATGTAAGTAGATCGATGCTAAAATATTAAATCTAAATAAGGGTAATGTCCCTAAACAAATACTTAAAGCGCTGCATTTCGTTATAATATAAATGACGACAAAAAATCGTTAATAGATGAATAATAATTTTACAAGACAAGAATACACAAAAAAATATGTTTAACAAGTTTTTAAAGAAAAAATAAACACAAACATGCTAGAACTATATATACAGCGCCGTAGCAAAAGTATTCGCGATTTTTAAAAATGGCGGCGGCTCACTTTCGCGTCTCAAGTAGGAAAAGAGAGATAACTCTATGGAAAATAAGAGTTATCTGTTTATTTTTTTACGGAGTTATTTTTATGTAGGAAATGACGTAATTTTATGTTAAATTATCGTCTGCACTTCCGTAGTGAATGTAAACAAGCAGATTTAACCATGGGTCGAAAATCCTCTGAGCTGAGTGCTGAAACTAAAAATCTAATCGTAACTTTGAAAAGTGAGAATCACAAAACTTCAGAAATATAGTTCGTGTGTTGAATATTAGTGAATCTACTGTGAGATCTATTTGGAATAAGTTTATTCAACGGGGAACAGTGAAAAACTTACCTCGAACGGGAAGACCTCGAAAGTTATCAATCAGAGATGAAAACTGGATAATGCGGACGGTCAAAGGCAACAGGTACAGGACCCTAAATAATGTTACGTTGGATTTAAATGAAGGAAAATGTCCTACAGAAACTGTAAGTAAATGTACGGTCCAGAGATTTCTTAGAAAAAAAGGATATCAAAGAAAAGTTGTGAGAAAACGAATGGTTGTTCGTGAAGTTAATCGGAAAAAGCGATTATCTTGGTGTTTGGGTAAACGACGACTGACAGTGGAACAATATTGGCAAAATGTCATATTTTCTGACGAAAGTCAAGTTGTAATTGGAGATAATCACCGGGTTTATGTCTGGAGAAGAGCAAATGAGGCGTACCTACCCCAATGCATGTGCCCTCCCCGTAAACGTCGAGTTGCAGTTATGGTATGGGGATGTATTACCTACGATGGTGTAGGGACTTTGTGTCTTGTTAATGGCAACATAACTGCTCAAAAGTATATAGATATACTCGACGAACATTTGTGGCCAGTTATAGCGAGGCATTTTCCCAATAAAACTTACCTATTTCAAGATGACAATGCACCCGTGCACAGAGCCAGGATTACGTGTGAATATAAGACAAACAACAGCATTCCTTCCATCACATGGCCGGCACAGTCCCCGGACATTAATATAATTGAAAATATTTGGTTGAAAATAAAACGTTCACTTCAAAACACGGCCAGAGACATCAAAACCCAAGACGAACTTTTTAATGCAATACTTGATATCTGGCAAAACATCGCCCTTGAGTATGTAAGAAACCTATACCTATCGATTCCCCGTCGGATCCAGGCAGTAATAAGATCCAAAAGTCAACTCACAAAATATTGAAAACAGTAAGTCAATTTTTCAAACTTTTAAAATAGTTTTATTTTGTTATGCGCGTCCTTGTTTACGGCCGCCATTTTGAAAAATCGCGAATACTTTTGCTATGGCGCTGTATATGTCTGAGAATTATGAATAGTACTACAGATATTCAGTTAATTAAATATTTGTAGAGCGAATTAAATTGTTAGCGTGATTCTAAATTTTAGAAAAGACAAACTGTTTAAATTTTAATACAATAGAATTTTTGGTTCTACATCACGTAAATAAAGTGTATCATTACAAAGGAAAAAAACCTTCCTTCAGGTAACTAAATATACGTTTTCCATTCAGTATGCTTAACAGCCCCCCCCCCCCCCCCTCCCGCACCCTTTCTCCCGAAATCAAATTCTTAGTTAGTATTTTCAGTATATATTAATTAATATTCAAATGTGTATTGTACATGTAACACAGAAAAAATTATTCTTTATACAAACATCAAAACAGTCATTATATACATACATGTGCCGACAGTGGTATTTTGATTTGGCAGGGATTATGTTTTAAATTCAATTTCAAACTTAATCCTTCCAGGTATATACATGTTTTGCCATAATTTATTCATTTTTTCCGTAGAAAAGCGAAAATCAAATTTAAAAATGATGTAAACAAAATGTTAAAACTTCTCGGGAATACGAAGTGACTCTTTGACTTCGGCATGTTCGGTGAAGCGAGATTTAAACACCTCTATTGTGTCGAATTATTTTGATTGACAGGACAAGCACGTGCACTTGGAGTGAATCGTTTGAACTTGTGGGAAAAAACCGATGCTTACTGTCAAATGGATTTGTTAATAAAAAAAAATGATTACTTTGACTGCCTGGAATATTAGAAAAAAAAAATATATGAATTTTTATTCGATGCAACAAATCTCTCTCTCTCTCTCTCTCTCTCTCTCTCTCTCTCTCTCTCTCTCTCAAGTTTCTATCGCTATTACATTTGTCATGTTAAATAAAAACTTTGACAACATATTTATTATTTATTTAGTTCTGAAATTCTAATCTATTACAAATAATTTGAATGCTTCTATCCATTATCTTGTCCGAGCATAATCATTGTCGGGAAATGTCTTCATATATACATTTGCATGTAAAACTTAGCTTAGAAAATAACCAGACAAAATAAAAATAACTAATAGATATATAATATTATTGCATAATTTTTTTAATATGAGTGAATGATGCAATATGTCAACAAACCTTTATAAAGTAATAAAAAAAAATCGGTATTTTACACGGAATCGCCGTGACTTCGAAATATATATTATTTAGTTTTAATCTAATAATTCATTCTGTAAGTAAAGTAGTTTTCTCTTCTGAAGTCCACATTATTTTAATAGTAAAAAGAATAAGCAGATTTATTTTATTAGTAAATTAATTTTATCTTTTATACGACAGGTATTCGGTAACAAACACACATGTTTTACGGCAATAAAAATCGTGTAATTAAAATATTGATTTAAAACATCAAAAGTGTGTGCAGAAAAAATGTTTTAATTATTTATTCACTTATTTATTTATTTTTTATTTATTGTTTATTTATATTTTAGCATCTAACATTAGAATATAACAGAATAATTTAAATGCAAGGAAAAAATCTGATGCATTCCGAATAAATCGATCATCTTGCGTTCACCGTTCGTTCACCGTTCACCGTTTGCGCTCCGTTCGCGTTCTGCGTTCACTCACCGTTCTCCGTTCACACATCGTTCACCAAGTTGCGTTCAGCGTTCACACACCGTTCGTTCACCGTTCGTTCACCGTTCGCTCTGCGTTCGTTCACCGTTCGTTCAGCGTTCGCTCAACGTTCAGGTGGGAAAGTAGAACGTTTCAGGGACTGTACATCGAGTTGTCTAATTAAATCGCCTTTCTGCAAGGGCATACATTCAATAGATCTTAACCATTAGATATTTTTTTGAACAGCAAATATATATACATTTCTCAGCTATGTTAAGGAAGGTCAGAGTTCACATTCCACTGTATACTGTGTAGGAAGTTTAATTGTGACGTCATTGAAATTTAACAAGTCACAAAAATTAATTAACGACATGATCATGTGTAAATAACAACTTGAATTCATTCACTTTATTGATTATTTATAAAATATTGTGAAATTGCAATACTTGATAGCAATACAGTCGAGTAATAGTAGAAAGTCTTTCGTCAAATATGACGTCATCAGCTTTGACATGACGCAGCACAGGTGATTCAAAGGACTGGATTCACTGGTTTAATAATTACAAGAATGCTTAAATAGATATGATACCATTGTTAATTTTTAAACTTAATCATTTAAATTGAAAGAAAATAATTTATTAAATGCAATGTGTATAGAATATGAATTTATCAAGTA